ATGTGATTTTGTTTATAATTATATACTATTGCTCTGAATTTAATAATTTTGTTTGTAATAATAAATTATTTTCATCTTTTTAGTTCGGTTATTTATAAAAGTGTGTTATTTTAGTTTTTTTTAAACTATTATTTATTCTTTTGTATTCTTTATTAGGGTCACCGGGTTGAGTAGCGCTACTCTCAATGATTTCAATATTCTTTTGTCCATTTTTTTTTAAACTATCAATTGAAACATGTTCAAAGATATTTGCCACCGTGCCACTTTGAGTTGATTAATTTTGTTAATAATAAAAGCCTTTGAAAGAATCGACCTAAATCAATGGTTCCATTAGTATACAAATCGCTAATATCATATCTTGCTGGAATTTTCTTTCCGTTTTTAAATAAACCCAAAATATTACTTAATGCAAGGTCACTACTTTACGTACTTCCGCATTTTTAATGATTTCATATACGTTGAGCTTTGAAGCTTTCTCTATTAATTGCTTAGGCAATTCTATTTGTTCTTTTTCTGCGCAGGATTTTTGTCTAATTTGGATTCTGGTAGGGACTTTCAGAATCCTATTATCTTTTTGGATATTTTGTAAGTCTTGTATTTTTATTCGCGATAATGCATCCTTTCCCTTAAGATATTCCACTGTAAAATCATATTCTTCTTAGTCAAGTCTCATTCTGGTTAATTTTGAACTCGGGTTAGTCAATGAAAATAGATATGTTAGAGATCTGTGGTCTGTTTTTACTGTGAAGTGTTTTTCGTAGACATATGGTCTAAAGTGTTTAATTGCCCAATGTATAGCTGCTAGTTCCTATTCTGTCATGTTTTTATTACTTTCTCCTTTTGTGAATAAACGTGATTCGTATGGTACTGGTAAATGCGTTCCATTATGTTTCTGCGTTAGGATGGCTCCGCATGCTTTACTTCCATCCGTTGTTATGAAAAATTCTTTATTAAAATCGGGGTACTGTAGTAATGTTGGTTTTATCAGTTGTGTTTTTAGGTATTCGAAGGCTTTTTGACATCGATCTGTCCATTCGAATTTCACGTTCTTTTCTGATGCTGATCAGGTTGGGATGATGAATGTGAACATGGTAATAAAGCTGATGTAGATGATGTTGATGGCTGAGAGTTTAGAGGTGGATCGGATGATAGTGATGAGACTGAGGTGGATGGTACGGATGGGTCTTGATTGAAATGCAACAATGAGTGGTGCTTCATGCGACAATATTTGCAGTGCGTTGACTTGCATTGCTGCAAGCTATGTCCTTATGCAAACAGTTGAGGCACAGGTGCAACTTCTTTGCTTCTCTAAATCGAAGAATCGGACTCAAATTTAACACTCGAGGGCATTTTGCCAAATAATGATCCATCGCATCACAAAACGTACATAACGGAAGATTTGAGTTAGTAGCTGAAGCAATGAATGAGTTTGAGGTTTATTCCCACCTGCTGGCCTGGTGTTTGCGTTACCAAGGCTTGATCCAAATTTTCCATCATCCTACACCTCCACTCCAAGAACGACTCCATAGATTTCCAATTAGATAGATCGTTGATTGACAAATCCTCTTCCCACTTTTCGCGCGAGTGTTGTTGCGCAGTGGCCAGGGTACGGATTGCTCGCAGATGCGAATTCATGCAATTGCTTAACTCCTGAAGACCCTTGGCCGACCTCTTCTCGTCACATTTTAACCCAAATATTGGCTATACGTGTCCCTGAAAATGTAGAACTTTATAATCGAGCTCAATTGCCGCAAAAGGGATTGGGCTTTGGCTCGGTAGAAGTCTACGTCACTTGGCGGTTCATTTTGATACTGAACCGAGTTTTCCGTGTTAGACATTTTTATTTTCTTAAGCGAAAAGAATAAATAAAAGAAAAATGTCTGACCGCTTCAGTATGTATGAACCCGTTTAGTTTTCACCGCACAAATTTAGGGGTTAATCAGCGTCACCGAGATGCAACGAAACCTCAACAATGTTGTTGCAAGTTCTCTGCCTCGCAACAGCGGAGTTTTGGCACACGCGCGTCTATGCTATATATGCATATGTATATATATGTTCAATAGGCGATATTTACGACGCGAAGCGCGAGCCACATTTGTATATAATGTTTGGCACAACACAGCTTTGTATTAACAGGGCGATGTAACCGAAAATCAGCGGCCGGCAATATGCACTCAGCTAGTTATGTACAAGGTATGTATGTGAGTTTGCTTGTGTGCTTATGACCGAATGCCAGTAAGCGACAGCGAAGCAAAGCGATTTGTTCAAACAATATTAAACAGGGAACACCGGTTTGCAGGCTCCGAGCCAAAGAATCACGTCGGGGTCACCAAAATGTTTGTGGGGAAGACAACGAATTTGCCACCCTTAAACAATAATAACTAAAGCTCGAATTTTGTTGATTAAATGCTGTGTATATTTTCGTTTCTGTTCTCTGGTCGGAGCTGCAACTACCGATCGAATGCTTTGCTTCAATATATATAATTACAATTTAGCTTAGATTAAAAGATAAGGCGACAGAAAGAAATAGATAAGAAAAGAGAAGAGCTAAGAGCAGAGCAGGTGCAGGCATACACCTTAATTTCCTTAATTTTTTCTCGACAGCCCCGCTTTTACTCATCACGTGCACTCTACTCACTCAGATTTCTTCGTTTTAAGCCGAGTGTCGCATTCCAGTTGAGTTCCTCGTTTCCGCCTTGTAGCGCTTTTCTTGTTTTCTTTTCTTATTTCCTCTATGCGTTCGTTTTGTTCATCCTTAATTCCTTATTGTGCTGTCATGGTCGCCACGTCCCATATGTTGGGCTTTTATGCTTGTTTAACGGCCGGGCCTTTTCTGCTTACGTAAGTACTCTGTAGTATTGTTGACATTGGTAGAGTGGGTACTCGCCACACGATTCTTTTAAACTACAGCAGTACCCCGAGTCAACGGCAGCAATCTAGACGCAACTGTGCTCCCATCACCGTGAAGGGACGACGATTAGTAGCTACCCTGGGCACCGGAGCTACTCACAGCTCCATCAGTGAGAAGTAGACCCGGGAGGTAAGGGTAGTTAATGGAACCTGTCACGAGCTCAGAGAGGCCTACGGCCTAGGGGCCGACATATACCTAAGAAACACGAGGACTCCCATCATCCATCTCGTGATAACAGTCAACTCGATGAGTTACCGTGGATAAAGATACTCCCGACTCCGAAAATCAGAGAATTCCAGTTTCCCAGGCTCTTGGGTGGAAAAATCCTGGAGCAAAAACTGGTCAAGTGTGACCCCCTATGGGTATATCCCAAATGGAGGATAATCATAAGCAGCGACAATCGTTCGGGCTTTAATCAACTCTAGCCACATTTAAGCGCGCTTTGGGATATGGAACCCCTTTTGTTGGCATATCTGGATGACGCGAAGCGCCGTATCGCGTACGTCCGTCACTTGATCAGCGACACCGGAATCTACACGGTTATTCCCAAGGTCGCCGCGACCAAGGAGCCCTGGTCGCCAACAAATCTCAATAGAGTCGAGAGGAACTAGTTCAATTGCTCAATTTGACAGAGAAATTAGGTAAGCTAGAAGAAGCCGTTCTTCTCTTCAAGCAAGAAAGCACGATGATATAGGATTTTCTTTTGGATGCCTGTAAAAAACAAGTGGAAGTGGTTTTTCTACAGCACAACACGATTAGACCAAAGCCAGAGCACGCACCGAGATGCAGAGGGCTATGTATTCGTAGGGGCCTCTAGCTACCAAACGCACCTATCCAGCGCCTCGACCTCTGGTAAGTGATTGGAATAATGGTCCTTCCTTTCGCCAAGATAAGTCAATCACACAAAGACTTTTCCATTTCCCGAAATATACTAACACGCACAGCCAGCGTCGCCGTCAAACACACAAACAGCTTGAGGGTATTTACCAATGGCAGAGGGTCAACAAGTCCGAAATTGGCTACCGGTAAACGGACAATGCTGCCCTTAATTGGGAGGCTATCATGGCGGAGCTAGTCATATTGTCTTGCCGGACTCGACTACCGAAAATATGCGCGGCCTCATCCTCATCCCCAGTCCCAGCCCCGTCACTCTTGATCACTTTTGACAGTCGACTAAATCCCGTCCTTGATGCCGGAGTGGACTACAGTTGAGACACATTGTAAACTACGACAACCCATCGTTAAAAGACGACGACGATTTGAAGGTGACCCCAGATAGCCGTTTCGGGCCATGCTTGTCAAACTCACCATACACCCGGAGAAGGCCGCCCATCCACCATTTTGGATATTTCGGAGGACAAGATCAATCCAGAGGTGGTTCCGAAAAGCGTCAGCATCAACTAAAGCGACGCCCGCATCGCAGGGCCAATCCTTACCGGAGTCCAGAGCTGGCGACAGTAAATCGTCGTTATTCGAATTTCTCGGGAACTCATTTGGAAATCCGGTCAGAATCCCTTCAGGAATTTCTAGAGAATTTCAAACGAAGGAAATTGAAGGGTTCCTGAATTTCCTGAGGAAATTATAATCAAAAAATTTTAAAAACATTCATTAACAAAATTTAAAGTTAGTAAAATATTTTTTTTAAGTGCGCGAGATTAAAATTCCTAATGTATACTGAATTCCACTTGATGTAACCAACTATTTGTATTTAACAACAATATTCACAACTAGAGAACGAGTTAGAACATTTATGACGTGATATTCCATGAGGAAATAAAAAATGAAATAATATCATCAATCATTTAAAATAATAATTTCCGGGATAAAAAATACCAAACCACATTTAGCAAAAAATCAACTGAACCACTTAAGGACTTATAAATCCTCAATATACATATGTATATACCTAAACTTCCAATAGATTGATAAAACCAAACTTTTACAGCAAATACGAAATAATAATAGCCCATAAACAAATAAACACACTACGGGAATTGTTTTAACAAAACAAAGTTTAAACTATTAAAAATGAAAAAACTGTGTCATTTATAAAATTCCATGCAACGGAGTGGACAACAGAGCATCAAAATTTAGAACGAGGATATTTATTTTTCTAAGATCATTTAATTTTGTTAAATTCACAGAAATTCTGACATCATAACACAACGACGGAATTTTTTTATAATATAAGATTATTTTTTTTACACCAAATATTAATAATAGGTCTCTTGCTCAACCCAGCCTCCAGGGTTCCTCCTTATAAGAAAGCGGCGAGCCTCATCAAAACAAAAAATTAACAGTCCAAACGGTAAGCCGTAGATCCACCAAAGAAACCTTTAAAGTTTTAAATTATAAAATTGAAGAATATTTAAACTTAGTATAAATCGTTTAAACTTACTTTACGGAATACATTCTTAAAGTTTTTTCAAAAATGGGAACGTAGCATAGGAGACAGGCAATAACAATCTCAACAACCAAAGCAAAATTGAGCACATGATTGCCCATTCCCTGTTGAAAGATTGAGTTTCGACGAGTTTTGCAGATGAATAAGTCAAAAAACTGAGTTACTACAATTGTTACGAAAAACCCTGTGCTTGCAGTATATTCAAGAACCTTACGTTCTCTGTAGGTCTAAAAAAAATATATATATAAGTAATAATGCAATGGTTAAGATGTAATATTACCCATTCTTGATTATAGCTGTCTTGAAGATTCTCATTATCCTTCGAGTCCCAGTCTTTTCGAATTCCAATAACTCGCTTAGGCATAAATCCATATTCAGCCATTATTGCAAAAAATGTGAAAAAACTTGCCACCGTTTGTATAACTCCAATTTGTAAATAGGCCATTAAAATTAATCTAATAATAAGTAGAAATTAAACATATGTTTCCATTAATAAATATTGTTTACACATACAATATTTATTTTATTTTCTATTATAATATATTTAGTTATATTTAAAGTTATATTTTATTTTTATACATCTAGAAAATTAATTTTTGGTGAAATAAGTAAGCTCAAAAAATCTGGGTAAAAAACCTGGATAAAAAAAGCTAGTAAAACTGACATTGCATTGGGACGGTGAAAGTCGACATGCTCGACTTGAAAGTTTCACCAGGTCTAGGCTTAAAACCTCGTCAATGGAGATCAAATCCGGTAAAACAAAACAGTTGCCTTCAAATTTTATAATGATTGTTCAGTAGGTAGGTGTCTTAAAGAAGTTGGGATGTGCAAATAATTGTGAGTTTGTATAAGTGTATTTAAATCGTTCCAAGCTGGAATTTCGGATTTATTCTATATGGACTGCGCCTACAATGCAAACGTGAGCTTAAAAAGCTTGAACTTGATTTGAATGGTTGCCCTTAAACTTGTAGACAACTTATGTTTTACCAACAACCGTCTATTTTCGAAGCGTTCCTTAAGGATTTGTCACGTTGGGATATAACCCTCGTAAGTCAGAGGAGGGTTTGAAACAACTACACATCGCCAGTCGTATGTAAAAGAAGTTGAAACAACCTTTCCACAGTTCGGATTTAAATGCTCGCCAAACCCTGAGCTTTCTGAGAAACGCCCTTTTTTATCAATTCTTGGAGATGGGCGACACACTTTACGTAAACCGAGGAACAACAGTCGTATTTCGACTAAAGCGTTGTTGAGGTGATCGCAATCTCAACTGAACCAGAAGGAAGTTCTCCTGATCCCTTCTCCACTTATTCCTACAGGACACGGATTTGATTCAGTGGTGGGCTTTGGATTTACCTAAGAGAGCGGCGGATTGTGATCTTTCCAAACGGATTGATGGAATCGGAGGTGGTTTATTTTCGCCTTCTATAGGCATGCCAGGATTCAAACTTAGCAACTGATTAGATTTCTCTACTCACTTAAAGGTAATTTAAATAGAAAGCGAATACGTACACACTAGGCCCCGTGGGGAAATTTGACCAAGAGATTGGCCATTGCCAATAAAAATAAAAATCCGAATTCAGGAAAATTTTGTGTTCCGAACTAAATTGATTGGAATCGGGGCGCCATAACCTAATTTAAATTGTAGAGCTGATAAACATCGTTCTTAAAAGTGTACGCCACCATACGTATTTAACTTTACCTTTGGCCTCTAGCAATCTGATAGAATGCAAGCTAAAAATCAAGTGGTTCGAAAAAGACAAAAATAACTATTGCCGATTCTCGGAGTTTGCTTTTGCTTCGCATCGACGATTATTATTCCCACAGGGTTAGTCGAAGTGTTGGGCAAGACACGAAGAGATTTGGTGATGGTTAGCACGCTGTCTGATGAGTTGGGTAGCGCCGACGAAACGGTCGTAAACACAAGTGCTACTTGCCTTTTGACAAGTTTTCTTTGTTGTTTTTTGGCAAAGCCGTAACTTGTGTCAAAGCGAAAGTTCAATAAATTTTCATTTATCTAAGGATCAAGAAGCGTTTTCTGCCACTACCCGCAAATAATTTAAAATCTAAATACAAATAAAATTAAACTAAAATTAAATTAAATTACCTTGGTTTCTGTGAGCCCAATAACCTGAGATGCGAACGAAAGGCTATCAGAATACAAGGTAAGAAGCTTACTACGTAAGCCTCTTGCATTCTGATAGGAAATACCTAGGGAGTAGGTTAGTTTTTTAGGTCGGGATTGGAAGAAGTAGAAGGCGCAGTGGTATAATCAGACCTGGGAGTTATTCCTACAGGCTGCTTTTTCTTCGCTTCGAACTCCTTAAAAACGTACTCAGGCCAGAAGTTGGTAGAGCAAATAGTTTTAAAGAGTTCGTTAGGGACATTTATTTAAAAAATGAAATATCCCTAGCGTAAGAAAATTTAAACTTTTCCACCTTCATCTTTATTTTATCGGCTCTGGTATTGCCTTGTATAGGTCAGGTTAGGTTAAACCAGAGGCCCTCCTGAGGGGTCCAATTATAGGCCAGTATGGCCATTGTTTTCACATGGTCCTGGAGAATCTTAAGCGGTGTTGAAATCCTTTAGGATCGCGGTAGTTTTTGCGAAGGCAAGTAGATCACCTGGTGACCTCTTGGAGGCATCTACTAGTGATGCCAGTACTGGGGCACCTATGTTCTGAGATGCTCCAAGGTTACTGTTGCCTCAGATTCATCACATTTCCTGCAGTTGCCGCTGTTGGTGATGCCCAGCTTGACTGCATGCGCAGCAGCCAGGCAGTGACCCGTAAGCATTCCCACTAATAGTCTGCAGTCTTCCTGATGGCGAATATTTCCGCCTGGAATATGCTGCAATGGCTTGGTAGCTTATACGACAGCCACGCTTTAACTCCGTCTTCCACCTTAGAGCCGTCAGTGTAAATATTGAGGTGTCGAGCGTGGTCCTGAACCGTTTTCCAGTCTTCAGGTCCCATAAATATTGATGTTTTTACATCCGGGCAAGTTTTAGGCGTCATGTAGTTAGATACTCTGCTCATGGTTCGACCAATTGAACTGTGCCCGTATCCTTTTGTTGCCATACTTCCTATAGCTACTAGGGGCTGTGTGGCCTTTCCCGCGGTCAGTTGCGCGTGGATGTCCAAGGGATCAATTCCAATTCATTTTAATTTTCATCTTTCCAAGTGAACGGACGTGTTTTTTTTCTTGCGCTCTCGTTTTGCATTAAAGATTGATTCTAACCACCGGGGTTAACTTAAATTATCTAATTTGTGTTTATAACTTCCCGTTCATTTCGCGTGTGCATGCAGCTAATCTAATTTGTGTACATAATTGGCTTTATTTTCCAATTTAGTTGTGCTGCTAGTGCTAGCTTTTGCATATTTTGCATTCCTTTTGGTGCCTTCTTCGTCTAGATTTTGTCTGCGCCGTCGTAACAGCTAAACGTTATTGCTATCTACTTATTTCCCACGCTCTCCCACTCTCTCGCTTTAGCTGTGCCGCTGCTCTTCTTATCTTATTTGATCTCATACGCTTTCCTGCTCTCTCGCTCTTCACTTCCTTCTTCATAGCTCTGTTGTTTTTTTCCAAGTACAAGTACAGTGGTAAGTCCTTATTATGTCCGGAAATATTGTCTGTTTCGTCAAAAACTGCAAAAAGGCAATTGCTGCAGGTGACCTTACAATCGGCTGCTGGCTGTGCGACAACGTCATGCACGCCAAGTGTATTGGAGTTGCAGCTCGGACGGTGGACGATGTAAAAAAAAACATCGGCCTGCGTTTCTGTTGTGAGGCCTGTCGCGATGTAGAAAGGGAGATGTCTTTCATGCGGCAAACCAAAAGCGGTTTTAAGGGCATTTTAACGAGTTTTCGTAAAACTCTTAATATGTTCTTGGCGCTGGACACCCAATTTAATAGCCTTACGCTATTAAATGAGTCTCCTAGGCGCAAAAAAAACTGCTATTGGTGGGCAGCATGTAGACGGACCCCAACTACCTGCAACAGGCTCTCAGCAGCAGCCTCCCACGGCACAGCCCTCGACCTCAGCATTAATTCCAAGAGTGCTGAGATCGAGCGCTAGGAAAGGTTCGGTATCCGAATGTGCAGCGGGAGTGGCCGTACCGCCGGTGATTTCTGTTTTGTCCCCTGTGGGGTCGCAAATATTGACCCCTCAAAGTCCCGTATATAATGATATATCTGCCCAGGGTGTCAGGCCCGGAATACCGGCCGACAAATGCACGGCAGATAACCAATCTGCCTTGCCAAAAGCCCTTATAGCTGTTCCACCAACGAGACATATTTTTGTCTCGCGGCTCTCCCCTGACCAAACATCGGAAGATGTTTTCGCCCTTATACAAGGCCACACCAGAGACGAAAAATTAAGATAAAGGTGGAAAAGTTCAAATTTTCTTACGCAAGGGCCATTTCATCTTTCAAAATAAATGTCCCTAACGAGCTCTTTAACACTATTTGCTCTCCCAACTTCTGGCCAGAGTACATAGTTGTTAAGGAGTTCGAGGCGAAGAAAAAGAAAAGGCGGCCTGTAGGAATAACTCTTCCCAGGCCTGATGATACCACTGCGCCTTCTACGTCTTCCAATCCCGACCCAAAACACTAACCTACTCCTTAGGTATTTCCTATCAGAATGCAAGAGGCTTACGTAGTAGGCTTCCTAACTGGTATTCTGATAGCCTTTTGTTTGCATCTCAGGCTCTTGTGCTCACAGAAACCTGGTTAAAGCCGGAGATTCTGAGCTCCGAAGTTTTTCCAGCTGTGTTCACGGTATATCGGCTAGATCGCCCTATCAGACGCGGGGGTGGAGTTCTCATAGCGGTGGACTCCTCACTCACGTCAGAATTATTAACCTTCGAGGAATGCAACGATGTTGAATTCCTCTGTGTGAAGCTATCTATCAAAGGTAGCTCCATTTTTTTTTACCTGTTCCTACATACCTCCACTGTCGGAATTTCCTATTTATTGGAATCACCTTTCCGCTATTCAGATGGTTTCCGGTAGACTTTTGGATAGAGACCAGTTGGTAGTTCTAGGAGATTTTAATATCCCTGGTGCTATTTGGTGCTCAAATAATTCCACCAATACTCTCCATACACCTACACAACATGACTTTATCGCTGGCTTGTTTGACATTTCGCTGTCTCAAGTCAACCATGTTCGATATTCCTTACAGCGCTTGCTCGATCTTTGCTTCGTCTCTGATCCTGCGAGAGTCAGTTTAGCAAGGGTGGCGCCTCTGACGCAGCCCGAAGATCCTTATCATCCAACTTTCGATGTGACTCTTGATATTGGGTGTGACGTACAGAATATTTCTGACCGTCCAGCCAATAAAGTCCTATGTTTTCGCAAAACGGACTTTGAACGGCTGAATAATTTTATAAACGAGTTCAATTGGTCTGATCTATACATGTGCACTGACATGGCTGTTGCCGTGGATATTTTTACAGTGCCATGAATTCATTTTTTACTGAATGTGTTCCGTTATATTATCCGCCAAGCTCGAATAAACCGCCGTGGTTTACTAAAGAGTTGAGCCGACTTAAAAATAAAAAATCTAGACTGTATGCTAAATTTAAAATCACCGGTTCTCAATCTGCCCTTTCATCTTATTTAATCAGCTCGGTCAAACTTTACCGTGCTGAACGCGCAGTGTTATAAAAAGTATTGAACTCGTTGTAGGGCCCAGTTCTCACAGGACCCAAAACAGTTTTATAATTTCGTTAACACTAAACGTAAGCCTAAAACAAATCCTTCCTCGCTTTCATTTGAAAATTCTAATGCAAATAATGATCAGGCAATAGCCGACCTATTTTCGCAGTTTTTTCAAAAACCTATTCTAGCTCTTCGTATCTACACCAGACCTATTCCTACGACATACCCAAATCAAACTTAATATTATGTCCTAGCCTAAACGAAAGCTCTCTTCTTTTAGATCTTCATCGTGTCAAGCCAGTTTATTCGCCAGGTCCCGACGGAATTCCTGGCTGTGTGCTTAGGTATTGTGCCGACGCCCTGTGCTATCGCCTTCTGAAATTGTTTACCTTGTCCTTAGAAACCTACCACTTTCCCGTTATTTGGAAGGAATCGTTTATTATTCCTCTCCACAAAAAGGTAGCAAATTGGATGCCAGCAATTATAGAGGAATCTCTAAGTTGTCGGCCATCCCTAATTTATTTGAAAACATTATCACCCCTCACTTACAGCACCTTTGTAGATCGGTTATTTCTCCATGTCAACATGGTTTTATTAGGCGAAGATCAACAACAACAAATCTTTTGGAGCTCTCTTCCTATATTATAATGGGCTTCCAGAATAATTGTCAGACAGATGCAATCTATACTGATTTCAGTAAAGCATTTGACTCTGTTAACCATTCTCTCCTCGTTAGAAAACTCGATTCAATGGGTTTTCCAAGTGATCTTAATTGGATCTCAAGTTATTTGAATGGCATGACGCAAAAGGTCCTATTTAAGAATAATTTATCCAATGTTCTAAGGGTTACATCTGGCGTCTCGCAAGGAAGCCATTTGGGACCCTTATTGTTTACATTATTTATAAATGACCTGCCCAAAGTCTTGACTAACTCCAGAGTACTTATGTACGCGGATGACGTCAAGCTTTGCGTGCAATACAATGACATTGCCTGCCAGTCGGATTTACAAACAGATCTTAATAATTTTCAAACTTGGTGCATTGTAAACTTTTTAAACTTAAATGACTCGAAATGCAAGCTAATGATATTCTCACGTGTCGTTCCTAAGCTTGCTACTTACACGCTGTACTGCTGCTCTTTGGAAGGAATTAATTCTGTTGACGATTTGGGCGTCCGCTTAGACCCAAAACTTGACTTTATTGATCATATTTCGTCTATGGTGAATAGAGCCAGGGGTGTGCTTGGATTTATTAAACGGTGGTCGAAGGAATTCAATGATATGCAGAGCATTGCCTGCCTCTGGGTTCTCTCCATAAGCATTTTGTAGGTCCTCTTTTCCATGGCTTGCCAACACACTAAAACCCCGTATAGCAGAGTCGGACGCACCACCGATATGTAGACCCAATGTATCAGAGCGGGTGAGAGGCCCCATGTGCTGCTGAGCAATTTCTTGGATGCATATAGCGCAATGGTGGCCTTTTTCACTCTCTCTAGTACATTGGGTTTCCATGCCAGCTTGCTGTCCAGTACAGTGCCCAGTTATTTGACTTGTGTTTTCGGGGTCAGCCTGGTTGAGTTTATTTTAGGGGGGATCCATGTCGGTACCTTATATATCTTTGTGAAGAGAATGAGGTCCGTGTTATTCGCATTGATATTGAGTCCTACGTTGTCCGTATCTCCCTGAGTGTTGATTCCATGATCGAGCTAAGGGTCGATGGACATACTCCCGTGATAATTATGCTTATTGACGTGCCCCACGATTTTATTTTAGTCAAGTCTATGCATATGTTTATAATTCCCACAACTCTAACTCTAACTATTATTATTATTATTATTATTTTTGTTTTTTAGTACATTTATCTTAAATATCGCAATGTATGTTTAACATAAAACCTTTTAACTTAAAAAGTTTTTTTTTCCTATTTTTATTTTCTAGTTTTTAGTTTTTATTTCGCACTCTGTTTAATTCATTTAGTGCTTCATTATTGCAAGGTTTCTTGCCCGTTAGTTTATTGCAGTTCAACTCCTCTATACGTAGTCCCTGCAAAGATCTTACTCTACTAAGAGTGGGTGGATTCATGATGGATGAATCAGATACCTAAATTACAGATTCAATTTCTAAATTTAAATCTTATTATTATACGCCATTTAGTGGCTGCGCCCATCTTAAATATTGAGGTTGTATAGTGCACTATATTCTTCTTGTCAAGCCCTTATATTTGATACCCATATTGGTGGGATTGATAAACAATTGATATTACCATTTGGTAGCGGCGGCCATCTTAGATTTCAAATTTGCATAGTAAATTGTATTCTACTTGTTGAGACCTTTCATTTGATACCCATGTTGATGAGATTGATAAATCCTAAGTTATCCGCCATTTTGTAGCGGCGGCCATCTTGAATTTATAATGATAATGAATAAACATAATTGTATTGTCACCAAAATCCAAAGTGTATACAAAATTTCAGATTAATCGGTTGACAGGAAGAGGGTGAAATTTGAATTACTAAATTTGACCCAAGAATAAATAAAACAAACCGGGTGAGCTAAATAAAACTGTTTACTTACTTACTTCTTATTCACCAATCGGTCTTTGAAAGGATCTCTCGGCATGCGGGCCATTATATCGGACTCAGCTTTTTCATAAGCCAGCGATATAGCAGGCAACATATCAGTACCAATATCAATACATAGGATTGCTATAGTACCTAAAGCCAATGGAATATCAAATACAACAAAACATAGAAAGGGCATTATTTCTGGTAGGTTTGACGTCAATGTGTATGCGATAGATTTTTTGAGATAATCAAAAATAGTTCGGCCTTCTTCAATCCCTACAACTATAGAGGCGAAATTGTCATCAAGTAAAATCATATCAGCAGCCTGCTTGGACACATCAGAACCAGAAATGCCCATTGCCACACCAATGTCAGCTCGTTTTAGGGCTGGTGAATCATTCACACCATCTCCCGTGACAGCAACAATTTCACCCCGGCTTTGACAAGCTTCTACAGTTATCAACTTTTGTTGTGGGGACGTACGTGCGAAAACAATGACTGCATCCAAATCCTCAGCGTTCATTTCCCGTAGTTCCCCTCCATGAACTACAATAGCAGTCGCTTGACAGGGGTCAACTTCTTGAATACTTACACCATGTTCTTTGGCAATGTCCTCAGCAGTGGGTTTTGTAATGAGTGAGTTTGTATAAGTGTATTTAAATCGTTCCAAGTTGGAATTTCGGATTTATTCTATATGGACTGCGCCTACATTGCAAACGTGAGCTTAAAAAGCTTAGACTTGATTTGAATGGTTGCCCTTAAACTTGTAGACAACTCTGTATACTGCTTTGCAGCTCCTTTAAGGCGACCCCGGGCAGTTGGGGGACCGTCTGTATGTTTTACCAACAACATATTTTCTATTTTCTGTCTATTTTCGAAGCGTTCCTTAAGGATTTGTCAAGTTGGGATAAAACCCTCGTAAATCAGAGGAGGGTTTGAAAGAACTACGCATCGCCAGTCGTATGTAAAAGAAGTTGAAACAACCTTTCCACAGTTCGGATTTAAATGCTCGCCAAACCCTGAGCTTTCTGAGAAATGCCCTTTTTTATCAATTCTTGGAGATGGGCGACACACTTTACGTAAACCGAGGAACAACAGTCGTATTTCGACTAAAGCGTTGTTGAGGTGATCGCAATCTCAACTGAACCAGAAGGAAGTTCTCCTGATCCCTTCTCCACTTATTCCTACAGGACACGGATTTGATTCAGTGGTGGGCTTTGGATTTACCTAAGAGAGCGGCGGATTGTGATCTTTCCAAACGGATTGATGGAATCGGAGGTGGTTTATTTTCGCCTTCTATAGGCATGCCAGGATTCAAACTTAGCAACTGATTAGATTTCTCTACTCACTTAAAGGTAAATTAAATAGAAAGCGAATACATACACACTAGGCCCCATGGGGAAATTTGACCAAGAGATTGGCCATTGCCAATAAAAATAAAAATCCGAATTCAGGAAAATTTTGTGTTCCGAACTAAATTGATTGGAATTGGGGCGCCATAACCTATTTTAAATTGTAGAGCTGATAAACATCGTTCTTAAAAGTGTACGCCACCATACGTATTTAACTTTACGTTTGGCCTCTAGCATTCTGATAGAATGTGTAGCGCTTGCTCGGTATAAGACACTTTTTATTAGCGCCATCTGTTAGTCGATCATATGTCGAAAGGCGGCTTTGCCAGTGTAGCAAGCGTAGGTCGGCTAGGGCCCGAAAGATCGGGTGAGAGAGCAAAAGAGGCATTTGTCAACGGTCTCCCCGTTTCCCCCACTTTCACATTGGGTTACCGCCACTTTTCCGGCGTCATCTTCCAGCATTCCATTTTTGGCGAAAAAGTAATCGCGAGTGTTCAAAGTGCTGAGAATACAATTTTGCTTATTGGCCACTGAGCCACGAATAGAAAGGTGAGCGTACAGATAGGGAAAAGTATAGGCAGCTTGAACTTGTTTATGAATTTTAAAGGCTGCAGTTTGTACCGCTCGAAGGCCCGAGGAGAGGCGAGGGGCAGGCAAGAAAATGACGCCGGCGCAGCTTCTTGGATCTTTTAAGCGCCTGGATCTGAATTCTAGGAGGAGGACTTCCCCGTCGCCCCGCTCAGCAGAGCTGGGAAAAATATTACTTTGTATTTAATTTAATGGGGTTGAAGCATAATTAATCGCCGAATGCGGTAGAACGACCTTTGTCCCCTTTGCGAACAGCTCTAGAGAGCACAACTAAGCAGAGAATTCGGTAGCAGTCGTACGAGCTTTTATGCCAGAGTCGGTGTAGGCGTAGGCTTCGGCAAAGCATTGCGTTTAGTTTAATGTAATTCTTGCGGATGTTTTGAACTCGCCGCCGCAATGCGATCCCGGCCAAAGTACATTTAATTCGAGCCCCATGCCTCATCGCGACGAACTATTGTAAAGAAAAAGGGAATTTTCGACCCCCATTTTGTTCCAGTGTCAGTGAAGATAATATGGAAAATTAGTGTAAGGAAAAATATAAATTTTAAGTTAGGTTAAATTTCGGAAAAATTGCAAGAAAAAAAAAGAATGATGTGAAATGAACTTAGGAATATGTAAAGAGCAATGTGCGGCAAAGAGAAATATTAATTCGTTGCATTCCGGTGAAAATTAATGAGAAAATCGATTTAAATAGCGCGGGCCGAATGCATCATTTTCTGATAGTTTCCCCCCATCTTCGTAGTCTCTTTTAGGGATGTGAATTTCTTTTTTGCACGTATCATTTTCATCCCAATTTTCAGCTAGCCTCCGAGGAAAGCGCTTTCATCGGTGGAGTTAAGAAAATGGTGAGTGTCGAAGTAATAATTTAAACAATTTCAAGTACAAAAAAAAAAAAATAAATGAATTGGAAAGAAAGAAAATGTCCCAAATCATGAGCCGTTAACGTACAAGAAAGATCGAAAAGTTAACCGAACCAACGGCAAAAACCAAGAGGGAAAGGAAAAAAAGAGGAACGCTGATAAATAAGGCTATTTAAGCTGAGAGCTTTTATGCTTCTCCAATTCGAATTATTATCTTTGTTGTTGCAACATGTGGATTGAATCTCAGTCAGCGTAATTAATAATTTTCCTGCAACTTGCCAAAATTTGCCATTTTTTGCCATTATATTTTTATTAATGCCCGAAACGAGTCGAAGGGCGTATATTTATTTATCATTGGTATTCTAAGTTTTAATGTTTAATTGTCTACATACGTTTCCTATTTTAAGTAATGAATTTATATTTCTCTAGTTCTAAATAAAATTATTATAATGTTTTAAAATGTCGAGTATTGGCCGCAGCTGGCATGCGTCGTGATGTAGGGTAGCACTTGTCGCTCAAGCTATATAGCTTTGAGAATGGGAGCGACCATAGGAAGGGTGGGCAAACTAGAGCCTCCAGAACACCAGGAGTGCTAAAAAAGGGGAAGTAAGCCGAAGAGAGTTCAATTTTCCTCAACTTTTATTTATGTGTTGTCTGTTTCTCTGTCCCGGTTTAAGCTTGTTGTAGCACGCAGTTAATTCTGTTTAAAATTATGCAAAGGCAACCCGAGATCTGAGCAAGACCATCACTCCCGTAGCCGACGAGCCGAAGCCGGAAAAATATCTTGCGTGCGCTCCGATCTTGAGCTAACAACTTGCCTGTGACATTTGTTTTGAGTGTAGCGATTCGTTACATTTATAAATAATATGTTTATCTTTTTATAATTTTAATAAAATTAGCGACCAACGTTAAGGCCACATACATAAATGATTAGCAGTTCATAATTTTAATAAAATTGGCCAACGTGAAGGCCACATACATATATGTTCAATGTGACTCACACAGACACACACACAAATAATTGTTAAACTTTTCGTCCAGCCAAGGGGTGGTTGACTAAGACTAGGTTGTGTTTACAGGTAGTCACCAAGCCACGGTTGCTCCAGCTGGTAGGAAGGCATGTCAATTTCCACTCACAGTTGTTCGGAAGCGTAGGAACACGGAAGAAGATGACTCAGGTTTGAAGCATCTAGCCGGCCGCAGACGACAACAGAGGAATAGGGAGTAGACAAACTCGTGTATACTCTACACCATGTAGCCCGAGTCGGTGCATATCACACGCATAGGACTAGCAGGTGCATTTGCTTTCAGAAGCGAGCACTTGACCACGGATGATAGGCATAGGCAAAGGGACACAACAAATTTCATAGGGGCTTATTAATTTTGTTATTATTTGAATAGGACTTACTGAGCGTTTATCTTTCAGAAGAGAAACTCAGGCCACGGATATTAGCAGAAGGCATAGACCCAACATTGACGGAAGAGTAGAAGCGTGGGCCGATCGGATAGCAGACAGCGAAGCTTTCGTCTGACCACTGCAACACGCTCTGCAATGTTATTGTTATTGCCAAATAGCGATAAACAACGCTCGTCAATTTTTTTTCTCGATTCTCTTTTGTGCTGACCGAAACCTTTTGTTTGTATATAAGTGCATTTTAATTACAAGCATTGCTATGCTTGCTGGCCAGACTTTTTGTATTGATTTGTTGATTGTCGATTTTTTATTTGAATTGATTTTCGTTGCGAAACAAAATTTTGATTGCTTGTGTTTATATTTTTCTATATTTCAGGTGTTATCATTGTATTTCTTAAATATTATTATTATTATTAATTACATTTAATGAAGGGATTTGAAGTGAGGCTTCGATCTATATAGATTTCATAGCGATCTTGAGGTTCGGAACTTGGATAAATTCTTCATTATTTAAGTTCAATTTCTTTTTCTTGTATTAAATTTTAGACTAATTTCTAGCTTGTTTATAATTATTATATAGGGATATAGGATCTTAGAAATTTTTATTAGGCATATTTTGAATCCGGTTCGTTTTGACTTGTAGTCGTCCAGAATTTATTACTTTGCTTTGGTTTTATTTAATTATTTAGTTAGCCATGGATCCAGAGGCTTCGGGATCCACGAAATGCATGCTCTGCGGAAAGGCTTTGTCACCAGATCAAGTAAGCCGTGGGAGTTGTGGGCATATATTCCATAAGGAATGCGCAGACGCGTTGGTCAAGAAGCAGGGCATTTGTCCTGGTTGCGAGGCCAAGGGAAATTCCGCCAAGGCGAAGACCCCAGCTCCAAAAAAGCAAGCGATGAGCAGCATTGATGCTGAAGCGATCAGCGACATTGTAGCGCAACAGCTAAAGGCAGTGCAGCAAAATTTGCTAACCAAGCTTACGGAACAGATGGGCCAAATAATTCAGGCAAATTTCGCGGCGCAGATGCAGGAGCCGCCAAGGTCAAACGAATCTGTCCATAACTTCGGGACTCAATCAGTAGCAGGGGATATTGAAATCCCAGACAGGCCCACGTCAGCTTTTTCTAGCTCCGATTTAAGTAGTCGTCCGGATAAGGTTGGACAAATTATTAGCAGTTGGAAGCTGCGATTCAACGGGTCTCCAGACGGATTGAGCGTAGATAAATTTTTGTATCGCGTGGAGGCGCTAACTCGACAAACCCTCAACTCGCGTTTTGATTTAATTTGCGGAAATGCCAGCGTACTGTTCGAGGGACAAGCGCGAGAGTTTTATTGGCGATTTCATAAAGAAGCCGATAGTTTCAGGTGGCATTTGCTTACCGAGGCTTTACGAAAACAGTTCCGTAATACGCG